TTTTTTTTTTCTCAATGCTGGTGAGTATCTTATTGCGCTGGCGGTTCTGATTCTTGTATGCTGACGGTGTTACGTTGTTGTCTTTTTTTCAATGCTGGTGAGTTGTTTATGTCTTTTGATGCGTTTACAAACTCTGGCAGATGATGATCAAATCAAATGCTCACCAAGTTCATTGACGAGCATAAAAGAGCGAACGCGGCCCGGCACACACTATCGAACCGTCTGCATAATAAACCACCTGCATACAAATGAACTGTGAGCATAGAAAGAAGAACCACGAGCATCAAAAGGCATCCGCTGCATAAACAAGAATAACACATATATAATAATAAGAAAAATAATAAGAACATGAAGAAATAAACACAACTTACATTTTTTGAAACAACGACAAACCACATATAAACATAAAAACAATTAAACACACATTGAAAAAAAAAACACAATACAAACAAAAACAAACGACATAATAATAACAAGAAAACAAATGCAATGCATACGCTAAAACATAAAATAAACAATAACAAGCACACCGCCACCACTGCCACCACCAAGGCCACGGGGAAATCCCGCAGCATCAAACAAGAACCGTCTGCAACCACCTGCTTAATAAAAGGAACAGCGAGCCTAGAAAAAAACATATTCACGAGCAAACAAAAGGGTACCCACTGCATAAAATCCTTGCCCCCAAACACCACCTGCCCGTCTATCTGCATAAGCATAAACCATGCAAAGCATAAACGGAAACATAAAACCATCATAACCAGCCCGAATATGCCCTAATCTCATCAGCTGCTTGGATGAGATGGGTCTTCCCTGCGGATCGCATGGGTCGGATGTCTTCCTCTCGGATCGTTTGGGAGGTCCTGATGCGAGTCGGTGACCGAACTGGACTGCCGTCCTGGACTGCCGGGTCTGTTCTTGAAACACGGTCCAAAAACAGGAGACTCCAAAGCCCTAGGGATCCAAGTACCTTCTCAGAAGGTACTTGGACCCTCAAAACCTACATAAGAGTGTCTCCAATCACCTTCTGAGAAGGTACTTGGATCCCTAGGGACGTTCAGTCTCGAACCTGAAGAAGCCGGCAACACACACAAAAGTGTGTGTGGCCCTCTAAAAACCCCTCTGGACCCGCGGCCTGCGCCAGCACAAGAGTGTTCGAAGACCGAAGGCTACATTGGCCATTTCCTCAGAACGATCCAGGAATTTCCCGGAAGCACGTCCACCCAGACGCGACCCTGGACCCTCCATTCAGTAGGGGCTGTACCCGAATCCTCATACGGGGTCCGGACCCGAACCAATCCCTATAGTTTTCAGGGACCGGTCGGCCGTCGTTCACGGAGCGTCTGGGTTGGTCATGTCCCATGTCCCTCGGGATCCGCATTCCTGTCGTACCATGTTCTACCCGGACCCTTGCACCGCTGGCTCCCACCTTCTCAGAAGGTATACGACTGGAGCCTTAGGGCGGAGTCATGTTCCTCTACTGAAATCTGCGATGAGTCTGTGTCCATGTTCCTCTACGTCCGGTCTTCTTGTCAAGTGGCCTACACGGTGAACATCCACCACTATATAGCCTGAAGAAAATAGGGTAGCCATGTTTGATGAAGAAGACTATAGACTAGACTTAGTAACACCCATTTTTCTCAACAAACATTGAACAAGAAGTCTCCCTCGAAAACTTAACCTCAGCTTTTGAGGAGAACCTGCGTGCCGCACGAACCTCCGAAGAACCAAATTGATTCCACCGCCTCATCGTCTAGGTCTTCTGTCTTTTTGAGAACAGCTGACTCCAAAATAATTACCCCACACCTATGGGCGTTTGTTGGTGGTTCTTGGCTCTCAAAAAGAATCCTGCAAAGATTCTCAACCTGGAACAGCTGAAAAACACAAAAGAAAACACCTGCAACTCCAGCGACCTTCTGGGGGGGAGAAGCACGTATACCCTACACCAGTCGTACCCAACTTCAGGTTCGCTCAGACTGGTTAGCAAAGCACTCCGGTTCCAGAGCTGTGGTCCTTCAGTCCCGTTCGCTTAGGGGATGGTTCGAAAGGCCGCCTCCGGTTCAGTTGGGCTGCCAACAAGAGAAGGCCCATCTCCGAACTCACCTCCGAACTCCTGCATATAACCTATAGGATTAGCGCAGAGATTGAGGCATAATTTCTATATAGTCATTTGTACATTTACAGTAAGACTATAAGACGTATAAGAAGTACATAATATAGTCTTACTCTTAGAACCTCTCCAACTTCTTATACTTCTTAATAGTCCCTAGGGCTCCAAGTACCTCCTCAGAAAGTACTTGGACCCTCCAAACCAACCCCAAACTTAGAAGGTACTTGGAGCTCTAGGGAGTATATAATATATAGCTCGAACTCGAACCACCAACTCTTAGAACCTCTCCAACCACCGTTCGGCCCGGTGCCCGCGCCTGTGCAGTGAGCTCACCGAAGCTGCGCACGGCCCGGCGGCCCAAGGCCTTGGGAGATCCGTCGCCCAGGGCTTCTCGAAAGGACCCTAAAAGGACCCCGAACGGCCGAGTATCGTCAGCTCAGGCTGCTCAGGTGACCAGTGGGACCCTCACAAACCATGCACCCCAACGCCAATCGAACCGAGTTACGGTTTCGGGGGCGGCCACTATATAGTCTCAGTCTCTTCATGTTCGGCGGTCGGGGCTCATCCCAGTGCTATGACCCATATCCAAAGGTCGTGTCTGACCAGGACCTGCTGGCGGTGGGAAAGGCATTAGTTTCTGTTATTTTCTGAGTAATTACGTCAAACAGCTGGTTGATTGGGATTCAACCCGTGAAATTCCGGCCACGAATCCTACCCTACACCTCCAAGATCCTCCAAGTACCTCCTCAGAAGGTACTTAGACCCTCCTGGCACCCACCCCAGTCCCACCTTCTCAGCAGGTACAACTGGAGGCCTAGGGCTAGGGATACCGTATGCCACCGATCTGCTTTGGACTTTTCGATCGACTGGGCCTTCCGTCGCGACGCCGATTGGCCAGCAGATTGGCCGGTGCGCACAGCCCCCCAGTGGCCTGTACGAAGGGCTCGTGCCAAAAGCACAGAACAGCAAATGCCCAAAGGCTATTTCCCACACCTGGCACAAAAATCAAAGCGGATCGGAACTTCATATTTAACACTTGCAAAGACTCAGTCTAGATTGTTGCTGGTTTCACATATATAAAGCCACACAGGCACCCGCCTTGAGGTATCAACCTAGAGCCTCTTAAATGCAGCCACTTTGCAATATGTGTTTCTGTTGTTTTGTTTAAAATTTTGTTGTTTCTTTCAAGCACCAGCACCTTCAAAGGGGTCACCAATAGAAGCCCCTACACTACTAAGGGACCTCCATTGGACACCCCTTGAAGGTCCAAGTACGAGGTCATTCCTCAAATCTGAGTCTCATCCTCCAGCCAGCCAGCGACCTGCCACCATGACCGGCCTTGGGGATCCAGTTGCTCGGCCCGCATCGACAACGCTTGCCCGATGGCCCAAAAGAGCTTCCTGGGTTGGTGTGCAGGATCAGGATCTAGGCACTTCTCTGCGTGGAAGGTGTTTCTGGGGGCAGCCTGAACCTCCGGACTGCTCTCAACTCGAAATGCTGGTGGTCCAAGATCAGGATCTACACTTCTCCGCACTCTTATTTATATAGAGAATTTTAAGAGAATCCTATATAGGCAGCCAGGAACCATGCAACCGACTTCGTGCGGAACCAGTGGTTTGGTCGTCGAACCGGGACAAATGGTTACCAGCGACCTTGTGGTCACTGGATCCCTAGGTTACTCTTGGTTACTGGAGTCAGAAAAAACGGCCGTTCCATGTCGGGGTGCTACCCATGGAGCTGCAGGGATACCCACTATCACTCTCCTATTAAGTTTTTCGAACTAAACAGCGCCCCCTTGTGACTTCTGCCCTAAGCCTCCAGTCGTACATACTGAGAAGGTGGGACCGGGGTGGGTTTGGAGGGTCCAAATACCTTCTGAGGAGGTACTTGGAGGTGTAGGGCTGAAATGTCATGTCATGATTTCTTGGACCTGGAGTCCTCAGAGCCTGGCGGGGTTGAGTTTCCTTCCATGTCCGAGTCTTCGAAGGGAGATGAAATACAGGTGAACCGAACGAACTCCATTCTCGTGAGCTCGATGCCACCACTCCCCACTAAAAAGGGTGATGTCTTAGAGTGATCCCCCAAATGGATATAGTGGCACGGTTTCCAAGGCGTAGCCGGGGGGGCCACTATTTGCTTCTCCGCGTTCGGATCCGTATGGTTCCGACCATCGCTCCACCATCGCCGGAGCGTCGGCGAAGCGGCGCCCAGCTTGGCAAAGGACCAGGCGGCGATGGAGAGGTGTTGCGCCTGCACGGCGCGCAGCTGGGCGGCACGTGCGTGGCGGCGCGGGTGGATTTCAGAGCCAAGGAGGAGCCCAAAAGGTTGGTTTGGGGGGACTTTTGGGGGGTTCTACGGGTGTATACATTATATTAATTAATTAGTATTCCAAGTATTCCGCGTAGTATTGAGTTGGAGGAAAACCAGAAGAACTTCGATTGTCGTGGTTGTTGGAGGGCTCAAAGAGGTTCAAAGACCCCATCAATTGCTCGGAAAGGCGTTGTTTTGGAATGAAAAGCATGTCCACATATGTCCACTTACAACCAGGTGTTTTCGATTTGATGACTGGATGTGGGCAAAACAGCCTGGCCTGCAGCCATTTTGGCAGCCAAGGGCTGCTTCTCTTCAGAAAAGACGATGGGTGGGTTGAAAGTTCGTGCTTGAAACCAGGAGGGGAACTATATATATATATATATAGCTACTACCTCCTGCAACTCATGTCTGGAAAGAGCCCTAGGGCTCCTGTCGGTGGGGACGGATCCCTATGGCACCCACCCCTGTCCCATCGAACCGAAACGGAGCCTGACACTCATCGATCCGCCTGACCAAGTCCTTCGAGAGCACCTGAATGAAATCGGTCCACGTCCCCAAATCGCCCAACAAACCGACAACACAGTGGCCCCAATCACCGTACCTGAGAAGGTACGACTGGATCCGGAACAAACGACACAACACTGTTGTGGTTGTTGTGGGCACAACACGATTGTGGAGGTTCCAATACCGCCAGAATCCGCCAGAAATGAAGGCCCAAAATTAGCATTCTTATGGGTTTGTGTCTGGTTTGTATTGATGTCAGGTTCAGTAGACTGACTTTAGCAAGTAACACTGAAAACTCCACCTCTAGGATTTCATGGCTGGTACTAAGTACCTTCTGTTCGTCTTTTGTCTAAAAAGAATCAACCAGGGCATGTGAACCATGCCAAACTACTAGTAGCAAGAATGCTACTAGGAACAAAGGGCGTCGCTAGGAACGGAGCAAGAAGCTACCAACGGGGCGCTCCTGGCCATACTACTGGGAACAAGAAGCTACTAGGAACAAGACTGCCAGGGTCCCAGAATAAAACCATTGGTGGAGCTCAAGAGCTGCCTGGAGAGGGGAAAAGCTCGGGAGTAGCTACTTGGAGCCTCCAAGGAGGTCGCCCTGTCCTCTGCTGTTTCACATTCTCCTACTACTTGATCCTCTGCGAATGATCGGAAACGTGGGTCCTCTGCTGTTTCAACATCTCTCTGCCACTGCCTCAAAAGGCCGCAACCTCTAAGAATCTGGGCCCTCAAAAGCATAGGGTTTGGTTCGGGCCCAGACCCTTGCGAAGGTGTCGGGTCCGACCCCTGCCATGGAGAGCCCGTTCGGATTCTTAGGGTACTAGTAATTCATATAGTGTTTCTATGGCCGTACGACCTGTACGACCTGATTTCTGCACGCTCATTCAGACGTCCTGGTCAACACAGTTCAAACCGGCCATGTAACAACCGTGGCCTGGAACAACTCCTCATGCAAGAGCCCAAGCTTTGCCAAGCCCCAGGCCACATTCGCCATATCCTCCCGGAGGACATGCGGATGGACAGGCGATCGGAGGCGATCGCCACGGATCTGGGGGATGAAACGAAGTGGCGACACGGTTAGGGGATCTTACACAAGTATCACTCCCTTCAGAGGGAATAGAGTGAGCATACTTATACTTGCACCAGCTTCTTCAGTGACCTTCTTGGAATCTCTAAGTGACCTTCTGCAGGACGAAGAAAACTCAAACCACAGGGGATCCAAATGGATCCAGCTTGGTCACGAACTGAAGAAGCATGGGCATTTGGTTGTTTAGTCTTGGGAAGATGTGGTTGCCTGCCCAAGTTCTCAAGTTCTGGACCACTGAACAAGGGTTGGATACACGTGATTCCTCACATGCCACATGCATCACATAGGGTGTGCGTTCGTTCACGTTGTGAGGTGCAATGGTTTTTTAAGACTGGTACACTCCCTGAAAAAAAAAACATGGAAGTGGAGAACGGCCCCTTGGAAAACCATGTTCCACTACAAACAGCTGGTGAACTCCACGTAACCATGTTAGTTCCAGGGAGAGTACTAGTACATGCAGAGATATGACATGTAGAAACGACCAACTCTCCATTCAATCAGCCCCCGAGACATGGAACTGCGCTCCGCACGGATGGTGCTTTCAGAACCAGGACATATCGGGACTATCGTTCCCCTGATGGAACCGGGGATGTTCACCCATGGAACCAAAAGCAAACCAAAAGAATCCTTTGATCCGCAAAAGCAGCTTCTGCTTGATTCGAATCCTTTCCATCCTTCCCCTCAATACATGCTGTTCAATGGGCCAATGACAGACCCTTTTGTTCCATCCCAACCGCAAAGCACTGGAGTGCGGAAAGCGCACTTCTTTCTTAAGACCTGTTCTTCTTCAATGCAGAATCTTATTAACCCCGGGCCCGGCATTTAGATTGTAAAGCCTCTTCATATTAAGAGTCTGCAACTACTGGGGACCATTAATTGACAAAAGAACATGATTCTCTGATGGCTTAGCTACTTTTCGGTATGGAAGGCCCGCCCTTCCAGGCGACTGAACAAGTCCAAACCCCAACAAATCTCGGGGTCCTGGGGTGCAAAGTGCGCGATCTTTCCGACTGCCTCATCGGCCACGGCTTCGATGAGCTCGGGATTGTCGTCCACGCCGCGAGTGGCGTAGCCTGAGATCGGAGGACCGAGGGATGCGTAGCTGATGGGTAGCAGAAGTGTTCATCTAGTAGCTTCTTGTTCCTAGTAGCAAGAGGAACCTAATGACCTAATGTAAATGGCCTACACCCTAATAGCGATGGCCTCCACCTAGCAGCTTCTAGCTACTTATTCTAGACACTGCATGGATGGAATAGTGGCACCCGTTTGGGATCCAGTTGTATCTTCTCAGGATTGATTTGGTACGACTGGTACGACTGGACCCGACGTTTTGGCACCTACGTAGCAGTGTCTCTAATCACCTTCTGAGAAGGTACGACTGGATCCCTAGGGAATGTATGTAAGTGCTGTCTTTTTCATGGATGGACTGGGGGTGGATATGGGATGGCAGAAGAGGGCGGTGAAATTCCATGTTTTTTTCTTGCTGTGCAGTGGGCGAACAGATCCAGAAGGCCATCATGATAGAAGTTAGAGAGGGAACTCCCCTATTATTTGTTTTTTGGTGTGCTTTAATCGAGACAATCCTCATGCATATGATGATACCTTGTTCAAAACATATCATAGAGGAATTAATTCAACTATAAAACACATGTTGTCCACCAACAATAAGCAGTCATTCACTTTGACTAAGTCTACAACCAGGATCGGACCGGACCACCGACGTGGGATGGGTCCCTGCCCGCCAAGGGGCCCCAAATGATCGTGGACAGGTCCTGTGGCGTCAGATCGGGGATCAGCCGCAGGATGGTCTCCGTCAAGGTCTTCAGCATGGCTGTCCCTGGCAGCGATGTTTTTCGCCGGTCCCTGGCAGGGTGCGAAAACACAGGGAAAATACCTATGGTGATTTCTCCTCAAAGAAGGGAGAGGATGGGGCAACGTCGCAACAAACATACCATCATTCTCCATGGCAATGTCCACCTATGTCTTTTCGGCTTGCTCAAGGGATGGCCACCGCCGTGTCTCGCCGCCCTTGGGCCGTTGACCTCACCAGCTCAGAGTGGTTCACCCGGTGGAATTTGGGCCTTCCTTTCACCAGCCTTTCAGGATTTACCGGCCCATCCAAGCCTGGACATTTCAAGCCAGGCGGCTTCCAATGAACCCAGTTGAAACATGGGAACGACCTGGTTTTGTGGTGAAAAATCTTTTGTACAACAAAGGTTGCTCGGTAAGAACCACGAAATTCATGGTGGTTGGAATCCTGGGGTTAATTTATACCATGGATCTTCCAACTAAGCAAACTGTCTGCCCGTTGCCCGGTTTTACAGGTGAACAGGGCTAAATTCTGCACTTTACCATTGCTGACCAGCCAGCCTGAGCAGTTGAGTTCTATTGCCGTAAGACTCCGGGCCCGAACCAATGGAAAGGGTTGGGTTCGAGTCCGGAAATTCTGCGAAGATGGAGAATGTCCAAGAGTTCTTCAGGTCATCTAAACACAAATCCTCTGGTAGATGAGCTCCAAATGGTGCTACAAATGACACGTCACCTACTGACCTACTGAGCCCAAGTTCGCACAGGAACACGCGAGCCCAGGATCCATGCGAGCTGCTGCCCGAAGCCAAGTTTGCCGGTGAGACCGAGGTTGGAGTCTTTTTTTCCTTTGACACCCACTTCCTGCGAGGCGTTGCCGGCTTCCGGCCTTCTCGAGCATGCCTTTGCTGTGTGCAACAGCTTTGCAAAACATCAAGTAGAGTCTGCTATTGGGCTTTGCGACTCACTCATTCCAACGATTGCGAATCATTGATTCAATTTGCACGTGTGATCGCTTCGACCCAAAATCCGGCCAATTCCAGGGTCCCAAAGGCTGTCCTCATCAGCGAGATCTTCCTAGCGATTCAGCGAGATGTCTGTTCAAGAGGACAGCGGACACGCCAAAACTCAGGGATATATGGTAAAACAAAGTGAAACAGTGAAACATCGTAAACTCATGGGCAATGATCAATGATAGTTGAAACATAACATAGTAAAACCAAAAGAAGTTATGAGCACTTTTGGACGCCATGACTGACCATGACTCATGACTCAACCAGTTGCAGCTCAAAAGAATCCGTATCACAATTGGCACAATTCAAAGCATGCGATTTGATCAATTCATTAAGACTCTCAGAATCTCTAAGACGTAAAAATACAAATATCTCAGTACTATCCAGTGCTTCATGCTACAGCCAGGATCCAAATGCATCTCATCCCACCAGCCAGCCCGGATCCGGACTCGTCCCTCCGGATCCGGCCCGCGGTCCGTGGCCCTGCAGTCTGCCTCAAACATGCCACTTCGAGCAAAGGACCACACCAACACACTCACGTCCTGGGGTGCTGGGGCGGCAACGTAGGGGGGGGGCCTAGGAAAGCCCTGCCGAGGCAGCGCAGTGCACCATGAGGAAAACCCTGCCTCGTCGTGGGGTGGGATAAGACTGAGATCAAACCCAGACCAAACGAATTGGACTCGAGTAGTTCTAGATACATTTACCCAATGAGCACGATCCATCCATGCAATTAACTATTCATACACTGAAACGACCTCATGGAGGTGGAGGTGGATGGCCCCTGAAAGGACCGAGGAAGGTCCACTTTCATGGGCAGTTGGAGGGAGTGATACCCTCCACTTCCTCACACGGTTGAGTCATAAAACCTCCTCGTATCAGAATAGAGTAGACTTTATAGCAAAAAAACAAAACATATCTCTGGCATTGAGAAATATCAAGAACAAATATGAACAAATATGAACAAGACACATGAGCCTGAACAAATAAACAACAATAACTTGTCTCCCTAGGCAACGTGGAGCACCTGTGGGGCATCCAGCAGCCATCCCAGGACGACGGAGGGTCCGGGTCCCTGCGTCCCTACTGGATGTGTTCTTTCTCTAGGGCTCCAAACATATCCTCAGGTTCGGTGGGGACTGACCCCCCTGGCACCCACCCATGTGGGCCAGGAGTTTTAGGGTTTACTGATCAAGAGGCTGCATCAGTCTTCCAAGCACCAGCGTTCGCCGGAGTGAGCTTCTACGCTCTTTTCAGTGACCGAACGGCAAGCCCACATGAACGGTCCGAATTCACTGAACCATGTGCAAAGAACCCCGTGCAGGAAGCAGCCGACGATTAGCACTGAACCGGGATTCGTTGAAACCAATCGCAAGATTTGGCAGACTCGCTTCCTCCACGCTTGGAAGACTCTAATGGTTTTCAGCTTCCATGCCATACTGTGCTGCGCTCCTGCGGCGTCAGCTCGCCGAGCCGGTGTTTCGTGGCCTGCGCCACCAGGCGCAGCGCGCGGCCCTGGAAGCGGCCCAGGCGCGCGGTGGCCCAGGCCAGCATGGCCAGCCTCAGTGGAGAACTACGAGAAGACTCGGGGGGAAGTGAGGCGTCGAGGCGTGTTCTGGACTGCCACGAGCAGAAGATGGGTGACATGGAATGACCCAGGATCCAAGCCACCCCAACCAAGAATTCGCAAGCAAAAGACGGCCCCAGAACGGCTCTTTTTGGTGGGAAAAGTAGTTCGTTTGGGGAGCGAACCAGGTGGACAACAAGTGTTCTGGTGGTGTCAAGAAAAATGGGTTGAGAAAGCCCTACAGCCTGGCCGTCCTGTAGATTTTGAAGGGGTAGGAACCTGGCAGCATTTTGAAATTCACATGAGAAAAGCAGCATCAGAAAAGCAACATCAGAACACCACCCCAAGGACTTTCAAACAACAAAAGCGAGTGGAGAGCTTGAGAGCTCTACAAAGCTGACCTCCCTGATGACGGAGACCTACAACTAATCCTCAGTCTGACCTCCTCAGTTTCCCTGGAAAAGAATGGTCAACCTTTAACCTCACCTGTTCATATCTAGTTGGTGGAGAAATCAATTCCCCAAAAAAGTTAAAGATAGTTAAAGGACTATAGTTAAAGGTTATCCACCTTTCTCTGGGTAGGTATAGCTTGCATCCAAGGCACTCTTGGTTGGAAAAGGTGGAGATCTTGGGGCCGGCTTCCTGCCAGCCGTTGGTGCCAGTGCGTCAACGAGTTCGACACATGTCAATTAGGTTGCGATAGGCCCAAATGGATACCTCCCGGGCATTCCGACCTCCTGGAAGAAGGGAATTAGACCAAAACCACTACGGGGTCTCCCTATTCAAATATATACTTACCCAAATCCCATCTCTGAACACTCATTGATTGAGTTAAGGAACCCTAAACCTCCTGGCCTAACTCCGTTTCGGTTCGGTGGTTGGGGCTGAGCCCCTGGCTGTTGGGTTCAACAAACCGCCACTGGCCGCACTGGCCGTCTTAACCTCCACGCAAGCACCTGGCACCACAATCCTTGGCAAGTTGACGTTCTGGTCTGTACTTCCAAACCACGATATAACTAATCCCAAGCCTTCAAAGACCATTAAACGAAAGGTTGACCTGATGTTGTAGTCAAAAGTCCTTAGTACAACAGAGGTTCCTTTAAAAAACCATGGGAAACCCATTCAATCAATGGTTGATCGAATTCCGAGGGTGGATCATCATTGAGGACACGATTGCCCTTGTCCAAGGTCCGATCTGTAAGCGCCGGCCTGGATCAAGGCATCAAGCCTCGATTCTGGTGAGATGTTCCAAGAATCGCGATTGCTCGGGCGAGCGTCCATGGGGACCTGAATATCCAATGTACACTACACATATTTATACGTACATTTGGAGCACATGGGGTGAATGATATACTATAATGGCTTGGCATGCCTATAACTATTATTCCATATTATTCCATTCACCATCCGTGGGAGAGCATTGATCGCAGTTCTATAGCAAACACATGCAAACACATGTTAAATTCAGAAGGGCACGTCGGGCCTTGGAATGCCTTGGTGCACCTATTTAAATTATATCCACATGGCGGGATAATTCTTGCATTGTGGGAAGGGTGGAGGATCATTCTTCAACAAATGTCACGAGCCCACAGCAGGGCCTGAGCTGCTTGGGTTTGCTGGCGAATCATGCGCAAACACGACCCGTATGGGACAATAACATATACGCCGACCCATTGACCCCTAAACCACCCCAATGTAGGCAATTATGGCATACATGGAGTGTCAGGCATGGTGAATGTCCCTGAATGTCTTCTTTTAGTCGCAGAAAGGGGCATGAGAGACGCCATTGGAAACAAGGTTCAACGTCTGTGCTCAGCAAGTTCAAGCTGAGGCTGCGTAGGAGAAAACTCCATACCAAACGTTTCCCAAGAAAACACGAAACCAGCGAGCAGATGACACAACTGTCATTTGTCATTGCTTCCACCAACATCATCGCAGCCTGGGCACATGGAGTCGTTTTGTATCTCCAGCTTCGCCAAGGATTGAGCCAGGTTCGTTAGCCCCTGGGCGTCGAACTCCCTCAGCGGCGCGCGGGGAAAGAGTGCGTGGACCAGCGTGGGGAGCGTGGACAAGGACGGCAAGGAGAGCCAGCTGGAAGTCTTTAACAAGGTAAGTTCGTGTGAGCTTATAAATCTTATAAATATAATAGGCATGTGGAATGACTGATGGCCGCTGATGGTAGGATACCGTCACAAAATGTCTCACTCTCAATTGCTCTGCCCCACATAGCAACCCCAAAACACCCCAGGGTGGTTGCTAAATGATGAGGTGAGCTTGGGACATGAAAACAAAAACACACGCCTCTCATCCTAGCTGTTCTTGGCAACGTTTGGATGAATGCCCCCCCCACTGGGCCCAGCCAAAGCTCCAGCTCCGACCCGAGAATCCCACCTCACCCGTTGCAAGGCAGTGTCCAAGACCACCTGGCCACGTCCAAGACCATGATCTGTTCGAAGTTGGATTCTTAGGAATTGCTGTCCAAGAACAAACATACTCTGACTCACTAACATTGAAGTGGACAATGGCCCCATGGAAAACGACTTTCCTCTCGAAACATGAGGTTGTCCGCTTCCATGATAGTGTATCAGAGTGTATTCTCCAGCACCAGGACCTTCCCAACGACCTTTTCAGCGTTCGTGACACCAGCCGCTGGCATCTCATTCGGACGGTCACTGGGGAGGTCCGGTGGAAGGGGATTCACCCAGTGTCACGTCATAGCCTAGGGATCCAGTCGTATCTTCTCAGGTTCGGTACGACTGAACCCGACGTTTTGGCACCTACATGTCTCAGTGTGTCCGTCCTCACCTAACCTGAGGTTCGGTACGACTGGATCCCCAGGGATAGCAAACCGATTTCTTGAAACCAACGGCCCGACGACCATGACCTCAGTGCATCGGCGTGTTTGTTGCAGCGGATTCCATGCGCCTCCCCCAAGCAGCGAACACGACCTACCCGCTGCACAATAACAAACCTTATAACACTGCCAGGAAGTGCAAGGGACAATGGTTTGAAGAAACCGTTTCGGTGTTCGAAAAGGTGTGTTGTATGTAAAGGTGTGTTGTATGTTGATTTTAAAAAGAAGGCTCCTGAGTCAGACTCCTGAGTCCAAAACTCGTTCGTAAAATAGGGGTCCTTGGGCTCAAAAAGCGAAGCCCTAGGATTAAATAGAATATAAAGTTTGTTCTGTTCCTAGAATTGACCCGTGGATTGTCCTGAAAAATGTTGCAACACAACACCCTTTTTCAATCCAATGCAGGGTCAAAAGGTTCGGCTTCCTTCCTTCCTTCCTTCCTTCCTTCCTTGCTCCATACTATGTTTGATTGATCCTGATGATTGTTTGTGTTTTTTTTCCCATGCCATCTGCCTATGACAAACCCACCACTCAACATGAGCAGAAGTTTATAGATTCACTCGCACGGAACCCTGAAGAATGCAATGGTCAGGGGTCCAGTTTATGAATGGTCAAGCTGACCTGGAGTCTCAAAGTACTCATGAACATGGGGAAATTACTACGTATGTTCACAAGACTCACAGGACCATATTCCGTCATTCCGTGGGCTTGGTCTCAGCCAGGGTTGGTCTCGGCCGGCTTGGTGACCCACCAAGATCCATGGACGACGTCCAAATGGACGTACGGGACCTCAGGTTAGGTGAGGACTGTTCGACACTGAGACATGTAGGTGCCACAACGTCGGGTCCAGTCGTACCGAACCTGAGGTACGGTGGCAGTGGATCCCTATGGAATGCTTTTCCCACGGATCCCGAGTCTGAGCCGGAGTCTTCAACCTCCAAACGTCAGCATGTCCACCCCCCCTGGCCCTTGCTATGGGCCTCCCATCAAGGTGCTGATAAGGGGTCAATGTAAATGTAGGTAGCCCATCAGCCCATCTTGGTATACATCATATGGTTTTGGTTGGATGACAAACTCTCCCCATGGCCAAACATGACCCCACCTCCACCATGCGTGCAGCTGATGGTGCACACAGTCCATCCTGAACAAGATGGAAGTTGCACAAGCCTTAAGTGGCCTTTTGGCAGTTTTTGCATCGTTCTTAAGGGTTTCTTTTCCAGCGTGACCCGAAGTGTCCCAAAAACTACCAGACTTGGAAGGTGCCTGGTATCCCAGACCATCCATGTATGGCCTATATATACCTTGGGGTGGTTGGAGGGGTGGGGCGCCTGGAGCACGTCGCCCTTGGGTCACGTGGAGACCACCGGACCCTCCGGGTGTCGATGCATCGAAGGGGAGGAGGGTGGTGGAGGGGAGCACATCAGCTGGGGGAACAGTCTCCATCCCGACCAAGGATTCGTGCCTTTTCTCGTTTGGCCTCCGTTGGTCGGTACCGAACCGCTTCGGTTGGGTGGGACGTGCCAGGAGGATCTAAATACCTTACCTGAGGAGGTATGACGAAGTCGGTGTAGGGTTTTTGGGAGTTCTCCAGAGGATTCGTGGAACCAGGGCGGGCTCTGTGTGGTGCAGAACTTCGGACGGTTTGCGAGTGAGCTCGTGGTTTGTTCAGAGTGGCGTGCTGTTTCATTTTGGTCATGCGACTCCTGTGGGTCCAACGTCATCCTTGCCCTCATCCTGGGACTATTCAGGTTTTTCAATATGCACAGGTCATTTATTCCAACAACCATTGACAAGTGCTTTAATTACAACAGATTCTACCCTAAGAATCCGAACGGGCTCTCCATGGCAGGGGTCGGACCCTCCATAGCAACGGTCTGGCGGTCTGGGCCCTCAAAACCCTGTTTGAGGGCCCGGATTCTTAGGGTAGACTACAAAACCAGGTCGACCACTTGAAGGCTGGGGAATTCCTTCACTCCATCGATTCGTCCCCGGTCCTCAGGCCCTTCTCGTCCTGCAAGGCTTTTTGGGCACCGCTCAGTTCGCACGCGAGACGTTGACGGTTTGCAAAATAGAAAGATATCCGAAACCGATGTCTGATGAGTCTGATGTGAACCAACCGGGTCCTAGGAATCCAATGATTCCAACATCATCCACATCATGCAAACCCCAGATCTTACAGTCATGGAAACAGGGTGGAAAATCGGACAACGGCACTCAATGAGGTTGTTCAACCGGAGCAGGTCTCACTTGGTCCGAGCGGACTGGTCATTGCACGGCTAGTTGGTCTGGCGAGTGGTCCGAGCATTGTCTGGATCAAGCCAGGTCTAGTAGTCTAGCGAAGCAGCATTTTGGTTTGAAGACTTGATCTGGAATGATTGGATTCATCGCCCAAAAGTGGGAATCTGAGTCACGCAATGTCATGTAGACTCTTGATTAGTACACCCCCCGCAATGGAATTGACACAGCTCTGACACAGCAGGAAGGTTTATGAATCAAGAGTCTGGCTGGCATGTACATGGGGAGGTCTTATCAAATCAAAATGGGCATCAGATATCTACTTGTGGACCTGCATGGACGCTCGTCTCCTCCCGAGGCTGCCATCATCTGTGCCTCAAACAGCGCCAACCCCAAGAATCCGGAAAACAACACCCAGACACGAAACATGAGACTGCATATATGCCGATCAGTTGGGGTGGTTGACTGGGGGTCAACGTGGGTATATATGGCATACATGGAGTGTCTGGGACATGGGTGTGTGTCAAAAAGAGAGGCACCTCCCAGGCAACGACGGGTTCGGTTTGGACTATAGACCAGTCTATCCAGCCAGGGAATCTCTATAAACCCCTGAGCGACTTGACTCCGCAGCCCTCCATGGCAGGGGTCGGACCTTCTCCCTCTTCGCAAGGGTCCAGACCCGAACCAAACCCTTTAGATTTGATTTGAGGGTCCTAGTCGATAGCCCTAAGAAATCCGGACCCGAAGCAACAGATTGGGTTTGGTTCGGGCCCCAACCCCTGATATGGAGAGTCCCCTGCCATGGAGAGCCCGGATTCGGATTCTTAGGGAGAGAAGAACTGAACCCCAGATCCCATGAACCCGTTTGGAGTTCCCACAAACACGAGGAGAACACGGAGAACACGGAGAACCTGAGTTCCGGCCCCATGTTCGGTGCGAGTTCCGGCTCGAACCATAGGTGCACAGACTATATATAATTCATCTATGTCAACCATCTCCATATCAAACTAGCAGGACGAGTCCTGTCGGGGTGGTTCATGAAGACCCCGAAAGAACCCAACCTTGGTGGCTATTCATAGAGACACCCAAACGGGGGTCCTGGTAGGCGATGAAAGTATCTAACCATCATTGTACCCTCCTATGGAGTGTGTTGACCCTATATAGCATATAGGGTCTATAGTCTATAGGGTAATAATAATGTTGAAAGGCTAAACCTCCAGCTTGCTCAAATTAGCTGGGATCTCCACCAAAACAATGATCAACCTTGTTGAACAATGAAGCATCCGAAGCCCAGCTTGTTCTCGTGTATCGAAAGCTCCGAGCTGCAAAAGAGTAGGCGATGATGGACAAGTGCTGTGGCGAGCAGCTCTTCACCTGGCAATATCAAGACTTCCAACCGTCCACCATTCCAAAATATAAAGCTTGTTCGCCCAGTTTTGTAGCTCCCTAAGAATCCGGGCCCTCAAACAGATAGGGTTTTGAAGGCCCAGACCCTGCTATGGAGGGTCCGACCCCTGCCATGGAGAGCCCAAGGACTCTTAGGCTGTGTAAATCCTTAGTAAAGCATCTGGTTCTTTGGGATGAACCGCCTATTTTCATGAACTGCGACGGGTGTTTGGAATGAACCGCCTCGCTCCAGCCGACCCTTCGTCTCGGAAGCAAACCGTTGGACCGGGGCGTGTCCACATGAGATGCTTCACCCACCGAGGTAGGTTTTTGCGCGGTTTTTGAATATAGTAGCTATAGGGTCTGAGAAAACATCATCGCAAGTTGATGTCTGCTCTTCAATTTTTTGTAGGAGTCAGTCAATAGTCACTATAGTAGTCTCTATTACCGCTGAATATTGCGGGTCTCCCATCTCCAGTCCAACGACATTGTCCGGAACGTGGAGGTCCCCCGACCTTGCGCAAGACCTCAGAGGCCATGGTCTCCTCGAAGGCTTGGTCCCTTCGACTGAGCCTCAGGACCCCAGTCACCACCGGGGTCCCAAGTCCCAGTACCTTCTGAGAAGGTGGGACCAGGGTGTTGGAGGGTCCAGTCATACCATCTCAGCAGGTATAGGGTATGGAGATCCCCAAGTAGTGGGGGTTGGACCTGCCAGGTGGGGTTGTTGGACCTGCCAGGTGGGGGTTGGACCTGCCAGGTGGGCCAAGTGAAACGGAAGGTGCTGGTCGGCCCGAACGGACCGTTCGTACCCGACCGAAGAGAAGCACCGTACCAGACCCCCCACGGCCCCGCGCGACACCTTCCAAACCCAACGGGCGACACGATCAAGCAGTGGATACTCATGACTCATGAACTGACTCATGACTCATGACCCTATAGAAATACCCAAACAATTCATACTAAGTACCAGGACCCTCCAAGGGGTGCCCTGTCTGGAAGCCTATAGGTAGTGTGGGGTAGTCCATTGGACACCCCTTGGAGGGTCCTGGTATAAATATGACCTACATGAAAACCACCAAAAACATCTCAAATGGATCGTCTGGGAGTCTGGTGCCAGTCGCTGAATTTCATCCGGTGGGTCGCGCCTGGAGTGTCGGGATCTCTCAGCCGGTGGGCACGGTGGCAGTGTTTGGTTTCAACAGCTTTGAAAGGAAGAGTTCCCAGACACTCCATGGGACTGCCATATATGCCTACATTGACCCCCTTTCAACCACCCCAACTGATCGGCAGTCCTATGGCAGTCCCATGGGTCGTGTCTGGGGTTACTTCTCCAGCTCCAAACGGCCCATCTAGGGTTCAGAACCCCCCTGGCATCCCCTGGCACCGCCCGTCCCTTGGGTCCGCCTGACCCAAACGGTCATGGACCGGTGCGACCGGTGCCATGGCTTCAGCCATCGAGACTCCGTCTGGGCTCGCCATGGCGACCCATGAGGACCCGTCGAACGCCGCGAGCTATCGGCGTAGAACACCAAGCGTAGAACAGCTGGCTCCCCCCCCCGAGTCCCTGGTGTTCTGGGTGGACACGGGGGGTGTCTGGTGTTCTTGTTGGTGGCTGATTAGCTCTGAAGCAATTCACTGCTTGATCAACCTGATCCAGGGGCCAAGACTCGGGACCTGCCAGGACGAGGTGTTGGGACCTACCAGTTGATTCCACAGGTCACCACCTGCCACTGTTGGGTGTCCAAAAGCCTGTCACTGTCTGAAGATCTGGAGGGTGGGTGCTGGTAGGGTAGTCCATTGAACACCCGTTGGATGGTCCAGGTATGTCCAGGTATATTCAAAGAACTATTAAAGGTATATATATATATATATAGGGATGATTTTACTCAAAGTCCTTCGGCTAAATCCTTGGTCAACAGGATCGTCTGACAGTCTGAGGCAAGTGCTTGGCAAATGCCCAGGAAAGGTTCGCCAAGTCCTGCTGGGAGTTCGATGAAATGGATGAACACCAGCTCTACCACGTGGGTACTTATGATGTGGACAGTCAGTTTGTACATGACTGAACATGTGAACAGCACATTACATCATGGTATAGCACCTTACAAATTCAAGCCCCACCCCCTGCCTCCAAGAATTTCAAATCACCAGTATTAATATCTTGCACATTCAGATTCAACTGCAAACAAACTTCAGACACACGTGATGCAACAAAAATAACTCCAACCTCCCCCCAACCTGCAGCTGCTGTAGCAAGCCAACCAACCTCTGTACAAGATTCACCTACAAGACTCTGTGCTCTGTACAACATCCTCTTGGAGAACCCCCCTCAAGAGTGACCAACCCTAAAAGCAACATCAAAGATAGAAACATTGGCAAAACCACTTGATACATCTTAGCACCATTTAATTCAATAATATAAATATACTTAAATAACATGAAGCACACAAACCAAACAAAACAGAACAACCATCCCAAAAAGATCCCTGAAACTAACACAAGCCTTGAGCCAAAACGGGAAAACCACCACCGACCGGCAGTCCTGCGGTCCCAGCTCGGGTGCTAAGCGAGTCGCCCGCTGGGCCACGGCCGCCAACAAGGGCCCGTGGCCGCTGGCCATGGCCGCAGCAAAGGCCCACACCTGCTTGTAACTCAGGGTCTCCCAAGTCCTGGCGCCTGAAAAGAACTCGAGGGGTCTCTATATTGTATATACCAGGGGTCACAAAGGGGTGGTGTTTAGTCCCCAAGTGAGTGGATAATGGGCACCCCTAACCTCCATTAAGCACCCCTTTGTGACCCCTGGTATATATATATATATATATAACAGGCAAATCATATGTCAGTTCACAGCTCGTGTCTGGGTAACTCGATTGGACGTCAAACTTAGCAAGGCAAGTCAATCAGCACCTTCCGGAGAGGGGTCTCCTGGCTGGAATACCCAGCCCACTACGTACGTACCCTAAGGGTCCAGGACCATACTGAGGGTGTCCTGCAAGGCCCCAGTTCGACCATTCTCTGGAAGTACGCACTCACCTCCAAGACTGGACCCTATAAGTATGGTGTAGATCTCGGTGGTCGCCGTATCATTAAAAAACGGAAGGTCCAGTCTTTAGGGTGAACGGTATTGGACCCAGACCTAGAAGGTCCACATCGCCGATCAGTCACATCACCTTCAAACCCAGACCATCCATGGGACAGGAAGATATGCCTACATTGACCCCTCAAACCACCCCAATGTAGTGATATAAATACTACCAGTCTGGGAAAGGGATGTGCCATAGGGAAAGCGAACTGTTCATTCCTATTTTGTGGGGAAACCAATCCTCGTCATAACGTTTTGCAGGATATCCCCTTTCCTCCTGGCTAGATGAAACAGCGTGAGCTGAAACAGCGTGAGCCAATGCCCAGGTGGCCGATTCAACTCGATCTCCCAGCCATTCGTCTTCGTCCCAAGGGACTCCAGCGACCCGCGAGGCTCTTTTCGCCCAGCGCGCAGCAGAGCGAAAGGCACACCGGACCGGTCGTCCATCTAAGCATAGCCGAGCTCCTTCCGCAAACGCTGGTATTCAGCTGAGAGAAAGGCTGGAACCTGCTGCCAAGCCTTCTTCGCCTCGGATTTTCATGGACGATTGGCATAGAGCGAACGTCCAGCGACCAATGTTTGTTAGAGGAAGAATCACATGGATTGTACCTGATCAAAAGACATCACCTTGCTTGAAGGTCCACTTCTATCTTCTTCTTCTTCCTCTTCTTCTTTTCTTCTTCTTCTTCTTCTTCTTTGTCTTCTTCTCTCTCTCAGCTCCTATTGGCAAGGTGCCACCTCATTGGAACCGGATTAAACACGGGGGCTTCATCCGCCTCTGTTCGATGACCTGAGCGAGCATTCGGATCCGGAATCCCCAAGCAACAACCCGAAGTTCAAGGCTCCTAAACCTGAAAGGAACACATCACAGAAAACCACCCAAATTACATTAATATACTTGAGAGTTCTAAGAAATCCTAGCCAATTCCATCAAGTCCCAGCTGCCAGTTCCATGTCCTCTGGGTCATTGGTATGGTTCACGAAATGGTCAGAAGGGATCGAAGAAAGTCCGTTGTAGCCGCGGTGCAAGTCTTCCTGAACCGCCCGATTGAGGATCTCCTGCCTGAGATGATCCAGGTCTCTTCATCGCATCCCCTCCTCCCGGTCCCAGTGAGAAGGACCAAACCCCTGAGATGATCAAATGACCGGTCTCTTCCCACTCCAACCACAAGACCCGTGCCTCCAGTCACGTCGACGAATCGACATCGACATCTCCGTGGTCCGTTGACCGTTTTGGGATCCGTTTTGGGATCCGAACCTCAGGTTACTTAGCGGGCCGCCCACTTATAAGTCCAGTTATAAGTATGGCAAGTGAGGTTATAACGTCTCTAAGTCAGGCCCCCTAAGTAGGTGAGGACGGTTCGACACACTGTGATGAGGCGGTGCCACAACGTCGGGTCCTTCGTCGTACCGAACGAAGATACGACTGGATCCCAAACGGGTGAATGCATGGCCATGAAGGGAATCCTTATAAACCGTCCCAAGGATTCAGGGATTCCGAAGCCTCAACACCCTGGCTTCTGAGGGTGGGATGAAAGTGATCAAGCCACACCAAACCAATGGCACTGGAAGAGTTACATCCATTGAGCCCATGACCCAGAACATGGTAACTCTTCCAGTCCCATTCGCCTATGGTCTTCAATGTTCGACCCCTAAAGGGAACGCCACATGTCGACATGAAGGTCATGACCCTAGAGAAAATAGGACATGACATGACATGACCCTAAACCCTAAACAGGTATATATGGCATGTTCAAACAGGTACGAACGGGGTCGACTCCAGATCTCCAGACCTCCAGACTTGTTCGCTTCTGGAGTTCTCCATGTTCGAACTGCCTGAATTCGCTTCGTTCTTTCGTCCCGTTTTGTTCCTCCCTGGAATCCCTGGAAGGTCCGGTCGACGTGACCGATTCTCGGAAAAAAAGAAACGGTGATGTAAAGGTCCCTTAGAAGAGCTAGGCTGATGATTGTGATGTAATTCTTCGACCAAATTGGCTTTGCAGAATTTGTGTGTTTTGCCAGAGTTGGCTTTGTGCCCGAAGGCTGCTTTTGCTGTCTCTACATTGAAAAGAGTGACTTTGAGGTTCAAGCAGCTGCCCATCGATGATAGTGACTATAGTTATGTTTTTGGAACACAAAAACAACTCACCTTCATGCAAGGCTGCTGGTCAAGCTTGGTGATCTCATCGGTAAAGAGAAAATTGACAATCTCTTGGACAGTATGATTGAAGTTTGCTGAGCTCTTGGTCATCTTTTCGAAGCTCACCACCATGACTTCGGGCTCAGCTTTCTTCGCCGCTTGCACCATCTCAAACACAATCGGCAGCATGCGCACGGCCATCACGGGAATGCCCTCCCCTGGATTGAGCTCTGGCATGCCCATGGAGTAGTAGGTATTGTCTGGCCTCTGACAGCCATCGGGGCCATGACCCCGAACAGCAGACCCAGGATGATTGGATTAGATTCTTTTATATCCCCCCTTTTTTGGGGGTTCCCAGAAAGATCTAGTTGTTTGGAAAGGGTGGCCTTGAAGTTGCTTGCTTGCCACCCACTGATTTTGGCATGTCTTTTCCAAGGAGACCAGTTTCGGTTCGGTTCTGTGAACTTTTGAGCGAGGCAATTCGACACGAAAGGAGGCGAGAGAACCTCAACTTTTGAGGGATATCATGGGATGTTCTTGCAGTTCTATCCCAAACACTCCAAGTATGAAATATTTGGCTACGTTGGGGTGGTTGGCGGCGTTTCAGGGGTCAATGTAGGCATATATTTATATAATCCATACATGGCATAGGAGTGTCTGGATTATATATGTTGAAAGTGCCAAAGATCTGGCAAACATGGAACAGCTTGATTTGTGAACATTATTAACTAAAAAAATAAAGGGAAACTGCGCTGATAAAGGTCTGAATTCCTTTTCTTGACGTTGTCTTTGTCATTCCTCTTTCCTGCTTGTAGATAATTACCGTTGAAGTCTTGCTGTTCCGTCTTGTTGTATTGTATCACTCATGTTTGCCACTAATTCCCCGCTACATGTCATGGTTTTCGGCCGGATGGCTCGGCACCCCGGTGGTGGTAGCTGTACGCAGAGATCACCATGTCGACCGGGTCCCGGATCATCATCACACCGTGGAAGCCTCCTGTGTTTTGGGTCTCTTTTCGTAGCTCCGAGATGGTGCCAGCGTCGATGTGGTTGTCAAAGCGGATGGAGGACGGATGCTCTGCGCAATCGGTGTGCTCAGGAGTATAGAAAGTGATCGGAACACCCATCCCGCCGTACTGGCAGGACTCCTTGGCACCCAATGCATCAAAAGTCCATTCCATGACATTCCGCAGCAACTGGCTGCCGACCTTGTGGCAGGTGCCTACTAGGTATACTCGCTTCTCCCATGGCTTTTCTGTCTGCACTGCACGCCGTTCTTGACGCCCCAATTTCCTCTGGAAAAGACCCAACGTGCCATCACACAGAGCTGTGTCAGGCAACTGCGGCCAGCTGGCATCACTTCCGGCGATAAAAATCACCAATCTCCATGAGAAACGCATGGCCAATTGCCCGCGTCAAAAGTCACTATTGTACACAAATCAATAATTGTGCGTTTGTCGATTTCAAGTGTGCAGTTGCTGAATCTACTGGTCATATTAGCATGGACATGGACAAAGGGCTTAAGACCTTTTCGCTTCACAAGCATGCCATGCTCAGGTCCTTCCTATCTGAATCACCGGAGGGAAAGTATTGTCTCAGCCACGCCTGTATACACATGTTGTGGAGTGGGTTTTCTCCACGTGAAGCCTTGAGCCAAAAGATCTCACCCAGCAAAACAACAAGAGTTGCCAGCCATGCAGCTCTCTTCAAACATGTGCTAGCTGTGAGACAAACAGTGGATCTCATTGGGTGATAAAAAAACAATACCCCTATTGGATCCACATACCCATCAGACCCCTCTGAGGTACGGTGATTGGAGACACATTGATGTAGGCTTTGAGGGTCCAATGCCAAATACTATCTGAGAAGCTACGACTCGACCCCTAGTGTACCTAAAGCAGTTCAGCAGGAGCCAAACATAGTTCCACTTAGCTTCATAGACTTTTCCTGGGACCTATAGCCTATAGGACACTTCTCCAACGGACTGTATGTTTTGCTGGAAGACTCTGAAACAAAAAGAACACACCACTGACGACATACTCATCAAGCAGGAAGAAGTACTGAAAACACATTGAAAACACTCATGTTCAAGTGGCCATGACTGGGAGTTGTCGGATGACCGCCGGTCACCGGGTGTTGTCAAATGGAACTGGGCGCTTAAGCGGGAGTACCTGGAGGGTACTGCGAAGGCACCCACCACAGGGTCCACCATAACTGTTTGAATGTCGCCTGAAACAATTCCCAGCTCTAAGATGTGTCTGTTTTTTCGCCAAATGATGAGTTGATTTTCTCCAAAAAGACAATAGGGCTAGATTGGAGTGTTACACAGAACAATAAACTTTATAATACTTTGTAACAACAACGACAACAACAACAACAACACCTCTGATGGCTGGCACATGCTCGTTGTTGGAGGTGTGTTGGATTGGACAGTTCTGTCCTCACACATGCTGATACACGCCAGAAAGACCTCCGGACCTAATGTAGACTTTTCATTAATAAACCCACCACATGAAGAGGATTTCCCCTTCAAATGGTGGGGTTTACTAATCAAGAGTCTACATTACATTACTTACTTCCCCTTTTCAACCACCCAAACTGAGCAGGAAAAATAGGCCAGTCCCATGAAGATATCGCTGGGATCGCAGGCCAATCCTTTTGGGTCCACATCGGCTAAGGCGGCAAGGCCCAGGTCAAAGGAGCCACCAAAAGGGCCAAGGACCGCGCCTGCGGCGGTCCTGACAGCAGTGAGTCCCATTAAGCATAACCAAGCTCCTTCCGCAAACGCTGGTATTCAGCTGAGAGAGTGGCTGGAACCACATGCCAAGCTCTCTTCGCCTTACAAACGACGGATCGACGGCAAGTCCAGCTGCCAACATGTTGAATTACGTCCAGGTCCAGTGGTCGATTGAATGGGATGGAGACTGGTCATTGATGGTTCCAATCCATCTGCTTCTATCTCCCGAAGCCGCTCTTCCGTTGCTGAGAATGGCAAACTGACACCACGGACGACATCAATGACAGTTTGAGGGCGTTTACACCCAGGCTAGGTCGCTTGAAATTGATGCAGATCTTGGAGAGAGCTGGAATCTCTGAGCAAACCTTGGAACCTGACCCTCCAAGTCAAGTACCTCGTTTTACTGGACCAAATTTTCTGCAAAAAAGGAATAGCAAAATGTGACCTCCAAATTCTTTTTGTGGAAATGGTAGATAGACAAAATTTACACCGTAAACGACGTCTTTTAGTTTGAAAAACAATAAGTAACAGGCACCCTTTACTCGGTGAATGAGGTTTTAGTTGGTAAAAACTGATGCCTTTGGATGAACCACCAAATTAGCTAGCTCTAGGACTCTAGGACCCAGCAAGTGCTTAGTGCCTGAACGTGGGGCCGTGAGTCTGGCGTGACTCTAGCGTGACTCCCACCTAAACCATTAAATGTTCGACGTCTTTTACTAATTTTACTAAGTTTTGCCCGTCAAAAACTATTGTACGAACCTGATTGAACGTGACTCTAAGACGCGTGACTCATGTCGGCACTTGAGGTTTTTATGTGACACATGTAAAAAAAAGAACAACCACTAAACATGAGTGTACTATGTGGCCAGTATATAGATGGTTATATTTGTAACTAACTGTATGATTCCCCCAAACATATTCCGTGGACATGGTGACCTTGAAATTTTTGGTCTAAACAATGTGACCTCGTAAAACTAGGTCATTTACAGTGACAGCAGGACCTCGTAAAATATGTCCTTTTGAGGTGGAGGGTGAGATTCTCTCAAGATTCCGGATGATGCAAATGTCTGAAAGATCTCCGATGTTCCCATGTGTGGGCATTCCAAATCAGTCAAACAGAGTCAAACAAGAAATACCACCAACCCAAACGCTCCAAACGGGCCTTGGTCCCTCAAAACCATATGGACTTGAGGGTCTATGAGCGTCTGGGAGGCACCAAAAATAAAACGACCAATTCCAGCACTTCCCAGCTGCCAGTTCCATGTCCTCTGCGTCATTGGTATGGTTCACCCAATGGTCATCGAAGCGGATGGAAGACAGTCCATTGTAGCCCCGGTGCAAGTCTTCCTGAACCGCCCGATTGAGGATCTTCTGCCTGAGATGATCCAGGTCTCTTCATCCCATCCCCCCAACGAGCTCCGTTCACAGGCCGACCCCGGTCCCTTGGTGAGAAGGACCGGCCCCTGACCCAAGGATTCGGGAACGGCCCCGGCTCTGAACGGAGGGTCCAGGGTCGCATCTGGCCCACCAAAGACTCCAACCACTAACCACCTGCGTTCCGAGAGGTTTGGGGAGTTTTCTATTTTTTGGGGGGGCGGGGGGTCAATGTACCGTGCCTAGACTCTCCAAAGTACCTTGGAAACTGGAACATGACTCTACAAAACAGGACCGTTGGAGCACGGCCGATGTGTTGGAGATCGAATGATCCAACCAACTACATCCTCATCCACCGACGGGGACGGGGGTGCTGCATGGAACATGAACATCAAAGGGGTGTCCACCTCCACCTCGACTCGGTGGTGCTGGATCAGGTCTTTGCGGGATAGAACTTATAGAACCCCCAAGATCGCACCCTATAAGCACCTTCTCGGAAAGTAGTGGAGCCCTATCGGTCATGACTGCAATCCAAGGCTGCTGGTCAAGCTTGCTGATCTCGTCCGTGAAGAGAAATTCGACCATATCTTGGACAGTTTGATTGAAACTTGCTGAGCTCTTGGTCATACGTTCGAAGCTCACCAGCATGACGTCGGGCTCAGCGTTCTTCGCTGCTTGCACCATCACTTCCACAGTGTCCAGCATGCGCGAGGCCATCGCAGGAACACCCTCTGCTGGAGTGAGCTCTACCATGCCCTGGGCATAGATACTATCCGGCCTTGGAGCTTCAGGCCCAAACAATCGACCTTCTCCACCACAACGCAGCGACATCGGCAATCTCTATATGACCGGTGTGACCTGTCCTTTTTAAAGAAACGCATATTTCTCCAAAAACTTGTTTGATCCAGAGACTTCCTGGGTAGGTTGAGAACTCACACACGAGAGCTTTGGGGCTCCAAGTGCTTAGCTTCAGGGATTACCCCAAAAGTTTATGTATAGAAAACATTAGTAAACATATTATAAACAATGATAATTAAAACTTAATATAGAAGAGTTGAAAGCAGGACCACCTGATACTCAAGACTCTAGTTTCTGTCTTCGTGTTGTTTTGTGCTTCTTCATCTTCCTTCTTCTCCTTCTTACTTCAGGATGTCAGCGTTTCAAACAAACAGTTCGGAGGGCGTCGATCACTAGCTCGAGTCTCCGGGTCGTCCTTTTTTCGGCGACTTTCGGCCGGATGGCTCGGCACCCCGGTGGTGGTAGCTGTACGCAGAGATCACCATGTCGACCGGGTCCCGGATCATCATCACACCGCGGAAGCCTCCGGTGTTGTGGGTCTCTTTTCCTCGGCTGTCCAGCTGGTCCTTTCCGCATGAACACCGCGACCCTGGACGGAGCCGGAGCTGGATTCTTCGGGTCGGTCCAGACCCTCCAATCGATAGGTGAGTTTAGGGACCAGGAGAAAAGGCCTGTTTTCACGGGGCATCTGAGTAGTAAGAACATGTAAGTTATAAACCAAAAGCCAAAGGACTAAGATACCGCCCAAGTTTCGTAGCTCCGAGATGGTATCACCGTCGATGTGGTTGTCAAAGCGGATGGAGGACGGATGCTCTGCGCAATCGGTGTGCTCAGGAGTATAGAAAGTGATCGGAACACCCATCCCGCCGTACTGGCAGGACTCCTTGGCACCCAATGCATCAAAAGTCCATTCCATGACATTCCGCAGCAACTGGCTGCCGACCTTGTGGCAGGTGCCTACTAGGTATACTCGCTTCTCCCATGGCTTTTCTGTCTGCACTGCACGCCGTTCTTGACGCCCCAATTTCCTCTGGAAAAGACCCAATGTGCCATCACACAAAGCTGTGTCAGGCAACTGCGGCCAGCTGGCATCACATCTGGCGATGAAAATCACCAAACTCCATGAGAAGCGCATGACCAATTGCCCACGTCAAGAAATACTATGAAACATGCATATAAAACACATGTATCTGAAATTATCTGAATCATTCTGAACCACTGGAGGGGCACAGTAAATATGTTCTTAGCCACACCTGTATGAATCGTTTTCTCCATGTGGAGTGAGTTTTCTCCACGTGGAGCCTTGAGCGAAAAGATCCCATCAAAAGAACAAACATGTCAGCCATGGCAGCTCTCTTCAGAAAATCACATGCTAGCTGTGAGACAATGGATGACTGGATCTTTTGAGGAGGATGAAAAAACCTTTGCCCACAAGCAATCGTAAATACAGAATCGAGCTGCTGCTGTTCTTCCATTTCTCTAGACATGCCCCTTTTGACCAATCATATCCTGACCCCGTCTGTTTCCCTGGCACCACCATGATTCATCTCATAGTTTTAGAGAAACCACTCCACCCCCCCAAAAAAAACATTCCAGGACCCCCAAGGGGTGGTGAATGGACACCCCCGGGCTAGGTTGGTGCTAAACCGATTTTCCTCTTCGAGGTCGTCTAGACCGGTACAACCGGGGGACCGGACGGCGTTGGAGCAGTTCTGAGGGTTGAAGTCGGGAGCCAACTGCGTGGCGCAGGTGCCCAGCTCTTCGAAGAAGCTGCGGCGGACCAGCAACACCTGGTGTGGTCGGTCCAGACGACGTGCTGTTGTTTCTGGTTTGATAGAGTCGGGACCAGGGGGATCTGCTTCTTTGCCAGCAAACAAATGCATTCGTGTTAAAAAAAAATGTAATGTATATATTTTATCTCGATCTCTCATATAATACATGTCCTAAGCAGTGATCCTTAATGTGGCTTCTTTGGTGTAGTTGGATGATCCCGATGGTTCAAAAAGAGCTGCTTGAATGCTTGGCTTCATTGGCTCCCATCACTACCGGCTCCAGTCGTACCGAACCTGAGAAGGTGGGACTGGGATGGGTGCCAGTGTCGGGTACGTGGTCTACTAGGCTACTACCCACAAATCATCTGCGAGCTCCTAAAGACCTGTCACATGGGATTCGCTGTCCCGAAAACACCATCCACCCGATCCGATCGAATCGATAGCGGGGATCGCATTCTTGGGCATTCGCAGAAGGGAATCGGGGAGGTCACGATCCATCTCCTTCCATCTCCCTACAATCCCTAGAGATCGTCCGTGGACGTCTCGGAGAAAACAAGGTATGCCACCTTCGTACTTTCAGGTATGTCAAGCCGGCCCGATCAGGGATCCGTTTTCGTACTGAACCAAAACGGTTTGGTACGAAAACGGATTTGCGCGTTTTGGCACCGGCAAATGACAGTGGAGACAGCACATCACCGAAGCTGAGGTTCGGTACGACTGGATGTATAGGGAATGACCTTATTTTACTGGAGTTGATCATACAAAAGCACCCCTGTAGTAAGTCCAAGGTCCAAAGTCCCAGAAAAGCCTGGTCTTTTACATCCTTAGTGTTTCATAGTGTTTCCATGACATCCAGTGAAATGAGGTCATTGACCTGGTACATGTTTCCCCTGATCTTCCGGCAAATCAATTATATAGCCCAAAGCAAAAGACCGGCGCGACCCACGCCATGGAAATGCTGGGATGGAGCTGAGAATTCCTGCCATGGAAATGGACAGTTTCCCGTACCCGGGTGGCCCTGAGCATTGCTCAACTTATAAAGGTTCCATTCGTTTTTTTGTAGCACGCACCGCATCACAGCATACACGAAGGGCCGCCTTGGCAAAGGCCCAGGCCACATTGACCAAGTTTTGGGGAGAGAAGTGCCAAAGCTTCTGCTGGCACTCATGCTCCTCAGTGCACAAAAAACAAAAACATGCATGGATGAACATTGGTACAAATACCATGAAATACCTGTTTTTTGTTCGGGTCATGTCGCCTTTTCATCCAATAATTAGACTTTCCTTAATTAGCACACCCACACTCCAGCCTCCCAAGACCATTAAACAAAAAGGGTTGACGTGGCTTTGTAACATCCTTCATCAAACACGGGTTGTTCGGTGAAGAAAAAGACTAGTGACATGGTCGGGGTGCTTGGAAGTCTCTTGAAACCAAATCTCATAGCACCAGGCCATGGGACTAGCATGTTCACCTACATTGGGACTGGTTTGAGGGGTTGTAGGCATTTATGACCCTAAGAATCCTTGGGCTCTCCATGGCAGGGGTCAGATCCTCCATAGCAGGGGTCTGGGCCCTCAAAACCCTACTTGTTTGAGGGCCCGGATTCTTAGGGGACAAACATGGAGTGTCTGGGCGGAAAATCGGGCGAAGTGGAAGGCGAAGTCGATGAAGGCGATGAGGGCGAAGTCGCCCAGGATGAAGGTGGTCCGAACCGGCCGACCTGTTCCTGAACACCATGCGGGACTAGTGCAGACCCCTCCAGGGTACGGACCCCACCTGGAGGAAGGGTCCAGGGTCGCGTCGGGCCTGGATGTAGCTTATGACAGGTTAGGTCGCTATGGACTAGGACCCGACTCTAGAGTCTAGAGATCTCCGAGATTGGGTGGCTGAAATGCAGAGGTCAAGCTTTCGCACGTGGTGACCTGTTCATTGCCAGGTGCTGGGATAGTCTGGGCAGGAAACACATCGATGCCCTGAACTTCATCCACCACCGTGGACCTAACAACCAGCCTGTCGCGCGAGACCATTTGGAGCCACACCTCTCGTGCAATCAGGAATCAACTGTGCCAAGAAACCAATTCAACAAACAAAACCAACACCTAACACGACTGTCACGTCACGACTGACTTCTGTCAAAACTTCCGTTTTCTCTTGAATCCATGTCACCGGTGACGCCCGCTCTCGCCCGCTCCAAACTCCCTCACCGTCGTCTCGTCTCGAGCTCCACCCGGACGTCCCCGAGCGTCAATGGCGCTGTAGAGTCGTTCGTGGCGGAGGGCCAACTTGGCCAAGGCCCAGGTGAGATTCGCCATGTTCAAAGCACTCCAAGCCTGGGCCCCCGGCGCCGAGCGCTTGCCACGCGGAGCGGGAGCTGGCCAGGTCAAGAGATCGTCCGTGCCCTACTGGATGACTGGACCCGACGTTTTGGCACCTATATGGCAGTGTCTCCGTCCTCACCTTCTGAGAAGGTACTTGGATCCCTGTGCAGGGAATGATCATGCCAGATGTGCTTGCTGTTGCCCCTTCTAAGATATGAAGAGGCCCTTCAGACAGCATGAAAGAACATAAAGGCTTGTTCATGATGTAAATAATCATTTATATGATACCTACGTACTGTAAAAAAAAATAAGCGATGCGTTCTGAAATGGCCCCCAGAATGGACCTTCTTTATCATATTGAAGTGTGTCCTGCGTCAACATTGCAATCGGTCTTGAGGGCTGGTCAAAAGACCTATCTCAGATAGGTTCCAAGCAAATTATTGTTCCATGAGGGGCCCTCAACTGGGCATAGAGTCATCCTCCTCTTCTTGGGGTGGAGACTTAGTGGACAATTGCAAGTGGCTGATCTAATTCTCCAACCGATAGTGCTGGGGGCATGGATGGATGGACGGACGGAGGGACAGAGGGATTAAGGACGGACGGATGGCATAGTTACATGAAGTTCCCTCATGATAGGCAAGTAACTGCAAGTATTATAAGAATGGTCCATACCAGGCCCCCCCGGTCTCGGGGTGTCAAATCATAGCTCCTTAGAGGTTAAAGGCTATCCAGGATACCGTCATGGCCCGGGGGTCCTGGTACATCATACCTCCATGCACTGGGCCCCCCATCGAATTCCACCTCCCCGGCCCATCTCTCCACGGCCCCCGGGCGTTCAAGGTGAGCAGGACGTCTTCCGCCACGGCTTGGATGGCACGAGCCGGTCGAGGCCTCAGAGAGTGGTCGAAGGATTCACCTGGGTGGAGAACACCCTGAAATTCCCGTTGGGGGGCTCCGCTGGCCGCCCGCATTTGCAATGTTGTCCGCCTTGAGCACTTTAGGCCTTGGGCCTCCCGACTGCACCAAGACCTTGGCAAAAGCCCAAAGGATGTTGGCCAAGTTCTGTTGAGACCTCACATCGGCCACGGGGACTCCCCAAACACTCTGTGAGGCCGACCATGGCCGCCCTGGCAGATACGCTGCCCTCAGGAGAGTGAACGTGTGAACATATGGTTCTTTTTGCAGCCCTGAACCTCCAGTCGTACCTCCTCAGGTTCGGAACGAATGGACCCGAACATGGCACCCATGGTTCGGGGGTTTATGGATGTCCGAGAGGGTCGGTGGGTCGGTGGGGATGTCGTCTGAGCACCGAGCACCGGGTGACGGGTGACTGGGGGGGGATGGTTCTGAATACCGAGGAGCAGTGAAGACCGAGGTGGGTGGTCCAATCCTTGACCCAAACACGACCCGTCTGGGACTGCCATAGATGCCGCCCCGACCCCCAATACCACCCCAAGGTCTGCCCTTGGGAGTCGACCCCATCTACCCACCTTAAGGAGGTCTTCCCGGATCCCAAACATAGACCACCCCCCCCGCCACTTCGCCCCGAGGTCTCCCCGCGACTGACGGAGCTGACACCAAGCACTCGGACCAAGTGCTGACGCCTTCGGCCAACTCCTGAGCCACGGCATTCATCAAGAGCTCATGGCGCCTGAGAGCTCCGGACGACCGAAAAGCGAAGTACCCCGAGCGGATTATACCGGACCTGTGTTCTGTACAGCTCACCACGCCCTCTGGGGCCCTTGCAGGTCACCATGCAGTTCTTTTGGGTTGATAGGGTCATGTAGTACACTTACCTGGAGTCTCAAAATATCACAGAAAAACGGGTGCAAGCGGTACAAGTACCTGTTCTTATTAGGGTCCCTCACCCGCTTCGGGACCTGCAAAATGATATCTATACCAGGACCTTCCAATAGGTGTTTTTGGGACACACCCTTTACCTCTAAGAGGCTATTGATAGGCACCTCTTGGATGGTCCTGGTAGAAGATATATCAATTCGGCTGAAAGTTCCATCTCCCCTGGATCCACTGATCCACCCTCTGAGAGAGTGTCGGTGACTTGTTTGTTAGATGTAGGATGATGTGATATATCCCAGACGATCCATACAATAGCCAAGCTTGCCTACAATAGGCAAGCTCGGCTATATGACGATCCATGGTTTTTGGATGCTTTTGGCAGGATCCTCATGGGTCTGCAATCCTCACTCAGACCGTTCCATTTCGACACAAAATTTCGACACAGAAACGCCTCACTACCCTAAGAATCCGGGCCCTCAAACAGATAGGGTTTTGAGGGTCCGGACCCCTGCTAATGGAGAGCCCAAGCATTCTTAGGGTAAGATGCGCCAAGCATTGCATCGCTGGCTCTTGAGAGGGGCGGAAAGCGTGAAGAGGGACCCACCCAGTCCGTTGGCTGAAGTGCTTCGGGTTCGGGTCGGCTCCAAAGAAAGGGCGCGCTCTTCGAAGAAAATGACCAGGTACGACTGGGAACCCCATGTTCCGAGGTACTTGGAGGCTCCAGGTACGTACATGTCCTACTTTTCTATGGCTCTAATATGGATCCATGTGGTCGCCAGGAGGGCCCAGTCATACCTGAGTAATACTTGAAGTCGGTTCCAGGTGCTGACTTGTGCAACGCCTCACCACTTGGACAACGTCGGAGCTTTTGGAAGGCCCCCTTGGGCTGGTTGTCTCAAGAGAAGAGCGCTAGCTCTTCAAACCTCCCCTCCCTACCCCACCAATCCATGGTCCCACAAATGGAGGAATCTGTTCCAATTCATTTGGCTGTGGGTCATGGCACCAGGATATCTTGCTTGACCTGGCTTGGACTGGCCGTTCGCGGCCAAATGGTGGACTGGTCGGGCCCTACCACGAATTGGACCCCGGTGCCATGCCCACCGCTTAGACTCACAGCCATCAACCCGAGCCATCAAGCCCCCACTTTTCCGCCTTCTTCGCCTTCTTCGCTTTTGAACGCCCGAGGGTCGCTTCTTCGGTGTCTCCGAGGTGGAGGCGAATGCCAAACCAGACCGTTTGAGAACGATCGCGGTTGGACGCCGCTGATCTTCGGAAATGGGAGCAAATGATGCCAAGGGGCCTGGATCTCAGCATATGGGCCTTTTTTGCCAAGAAAAAAAACATGATCGATAGATGTAATCCGGCCAATTGACTGGGCAGCATCCAATTCACACCATAACTATCCTCAACAATCAAAATGTGACTGTGACTGGATTCCAGAGTTCCTTTGTTGCATGTGGGGCTATGATGTAGTTGAGGGTCCCTGTTCCTCGTGATCTTTCCACATACCTTCTGAGAAGGTGATTGGAAACTCTTTGATGTAGGCGCCAGGGGCCAGGAGGGTCCAAGTACGTTCTATAAGAAGAGATGCCCAATAGGAATATATAGTCACTGATATAGTCTTATAAGATATGAGTCTAGTTGCAGTTGGTACGTGGCCTCAAGTCTGTCTAATCAATTGAAGAACTATACCTATATAGAACAAACTCAGGTACGACCGTACTGTAAACATTCTTCCAGGTACCGACTCCAGGTAGCTGCGTAGCTTAACATAGCTTAACTAGATGCCGGGAGCTCCCAAAACGTCCCATGCGTTTCAGGCCGGTCGAATGAAAAGCTGTTTGAAGCTCAGAAGCTGAGCAGCTTCCCATGGTGGGGTCTCCCGGTGCAGAACCTCCACCTCGAGACTCTCGAGACTCGCCAGACTCGCATTTTGCGGGTGTGGACGAGTAACGAGACTCACCAAAACGTCTTCCAAGGTAGCAAGGAGACACCAAAGCTTGTGATCCTAAATCCCAGCCCTTCTCCAATGGAAATGGTTCAGGTTGTTACACCCCCAGCGGTTGAGAGGTCGGGTCCATGATTCTCAGTGCACATGAAGATCACCAAAGAAGAGCAACACAAACTGACGACTTTCAATCTAACCCGTGACTGGCCTCCGTTTTCGTCCCGAACCCTGTTGTGAGGTGGGACTGGGTGCCCGGGTGCCATGTTCCGTCGGGTCCAGGAGCTACCCTGAGACCTTCGGAGGTTCGGTACGACGACGTCGGTGTAGGGTCAAGTGGGCTCTGAAAAGGCGATCTCGATCCAAACCTCTCCCCATGAGACCTCAGAAGACCTTCTGGCAGGACCCAGTGTCCTTCGCTCGTGCTGACACTGCGCTGACACTGCCCGAAAGATCCGAATGAAACAAAGGGGGACGCATCGAAACATCCGGGACACAACATATGTTCCCCATCACACAAAATGGTCCAAAGAAGTCCAAATGGTGAAACTGATAAAAAATCTCTACAGATGCTCTCCGTGGTTCTACATATATTACATGGACCATCAAAAACAATTGAGAAGAGCTTGTGCGCTGGAACAAACCCACAATCAATTTGATACACGCGGGAACAAACCCACATGTAACCGGGCTGGTATAGAGCATGGACCTTTGGAAGACTTCAGGTTCCATGTCGGTCGACTTTAACCTTAGCTTAGGCTTGCCAGGACGCTCGGGAGCCAAGGACGGCCTGAAGAACAGAGCCAGAGTTTTGGGCCATGCAGGGTCTTGGATCTAGAAAGACGTTCTTTTTGGTGTTGCGTATATGAAAAGGGTGATATGTTGTTATTGCCTGAGCAAGATCTGATTGGATCGTCAAGCCTACCCGAGCAAGTTCCGCGCCAACACCCTCTGTTCAGAGGGACGTACATGTTCTGAAAAAAATACGAGAAAACAGTTCAGGCCGGGATCATTTCGGGTTGTGCAGCGTCCACACAAAGCGACCAACTCAGCAAATCAGCTGAGTGATTCCTCCAACATCCTTTGGATGTGGGATCATGTGTCGAGTCGATCCTCCTTTGGCTCTTTAGACTCTTTAGCCTAGGCCGAGCCATGTGGAGCCTCGTGGCTACCCGCCAAGACGATGCAAGACAAAGTGTCCATCTTCGTGTCGTGGACACATACGCAGCGTTCACGAGGCTTCGAGTTTCTATCAGAAACGCAAGGACCATGCGAAGCGAAGCAAACCTCGCCAACTCGCTGTTCACCTGGGGCTGGGAGGTGTTAAGCTTCACCAGGCTTAAGCTTCACCTGGTTTCCAGTCTCAAAGCCCCGAAAATGGGTACAAGTACCTGTTGTTTGTTTGGGTCATGAGTCATGTCCTATTCTCTAGAGGGTCCAGGTAGTTTTACAAATCAGCCTGTATATAACATATCTAGTCCAAAGACTATGACTATATAAAGTTGTCAGTTCAAGACTCTGTTCTTCCAAAAGCCTTGAAGTCACAGCGTAATGGACATTCCTGATTCATGAACCCCGTAAAAGTAGTGTCCAACTCTTTCCGGCAATCCTAACCGCCTTTCAAGAAACCTTCTGGCCAATGTGCCTAAAGTGCGTCCCCACACCAATTTCTTAAGGTCCCCCTTCTTCGCCCAAACAATCCTGCAATACATTAAAAAAAAAAACTATAAAAACCTCTCTTCCCTTGGCTCACCGCCTTTCTTGCTTTCTTTTTCTTTCTCTCTCTCTCTCTCTCTCTCGCTGTCGGTACCAACAATTGGAGGCTCCCCTCATGCGACCATGGGTGCCTTGCTCATCGGACTCCGTCCCGTGAAAACCCGAACCTCCGAACGAAGGTGAAAACCGAACGAACTCCACCGGTGTTTCACATGCCCCAGCGATCCAAGCCCAGACACTCCATGCATGTATGCCATATATGCCATATATATGCCGATCAGTTGGGGTGGTTTGGGGGGTCAATGTAGGCATATATGGCAGTCCCATGGAGTGTCTGGGAAGTACCTTCTCAGGTATGGTGAGGACGGTTCGACACTGAGACATGTAGGTGCCCAGTCACGTCGGGTCGTTCGTCGTACCGAACCTGAGAAGACCCTTGGAGCCTTAAGGATGGGGGTGGACACCCACTCCCAAACAAAGCGAGGGGCAGCTGATCCACGTCACCACTCCTGTGTATGTCCCGAGACCACCGGCGCCCAGGTGCCGCAGCCCGCCAGCGAGGCCACTCAGGAGGTGTAGCGTTGATTGTCCGTCCGACCGGATTGGCCCAAAAACCTGCGCGCCGACGGACCGAGGATCCGACTGTCGGAACGGCCCTTCGAAGCGATGCCCCGGTCCTTGGGAGAAACCAAGACACGTCCCGGTCCTTGTGTGTTCATGTGTTCTTTCCATTTGTCTGGCACCCCCCCCGGTGTCAGACACGCGGTGGCTGGTTCTGAAGCAGCAGCGTCACCATGTTCGGCGGATGCATTCAGATCTCGCCCCATCCCGTCGCCGGAACCGACTCTCCGCATCAAGACCGACCAGACCGTCCAAACTGATCACCCTAAGAATCCGAGTTCGGGCTCTCCATGGCAGGAGTCGGACCCGAAACGCAGGGGGGGCGCTTCATCAAACCCCATCTGTTGCTGAGGGCCCGGATTCTTAGGTAGGCCGGGCCATTTTTGAGCCCATGCCATACCCGCATCTGGTCTGAATCACTTGAGTGGAGTTTCGAGGCAACAAGGATTGAGCGTCTTAAGCCCTAACCCTAGGGCTCCAGTCGTACCTCCTCAAAAGGTATGACTGGACCCTCCAAAGCCACCCACGCCAGTCCCACCGAACCTCAGAATTCACTTAGAGTCCTATAGGGT